CCAAGCACCACCCAATAGAAAGCCACACTGTGACAACGGTACTGTGCCCTCATTCACCTTTGTCACTAGCTCTGCCTCCATGAGACCTCTGAAAAGTCCAAGTCAGCATGAGAGTTAAACATGCCAAATCAGTTCACAACATCTACACAACCACAAGGAAAGAGGAATTCCAGATCTCTTCCTGAAAGTGGCCACAACAACGGAATAAGTGTGCTCAAAGTGAGAGGAAGCATTTGAGGGGAATTAATGACATTGTCTTTTGTGGTAGTTAAAATTTAAAAAACAAAACAAAACAAAAAAAACTATAGCTTTTGATCACATGAAGTTGCTTTTTACTTGTTTTCATAAAGATGTAGAGAAAAGATGATTATTTTATAAGTCCAAGCAACCAGTAATGGTTGATAGGTGATAACATGCTATATTTAGGCTAGATCAAAACATTATGGCAGGTAGGAATGTGAAGAGCCCTGGTCCCATCATGCCAGAGTCACTTCTCGAGGAAATGTCCTCACCAGAGTCAGTGCATGCATTTCACTGTGGGAAACAAAAGATGCAAGGATTCTCCTTGGGCCCCACAGGAAGGGTTTCTAACCTCTATTTTAAGATGAAGATGGCGCAGTGGTTGCCGCCCTCCACTTCCTTCAAGCTCCTTCTGCCCTGGTACAGCCCTGAACAGGTGTCACCACTGTCTACCCTGCCTAGACTGGGTCATTCTGAAAGTAAAACTGTTTGGGCTGAAATGTTTGCAGAAAGCTTATAATGGGAGCCCACATCAGCTCCTGCCAATGGCTTCAAAGCCTGTCACATACTTCTGTACACAGAGGAAATCTGCTTCCTCCGTCCTTTCAAGTTCTGATGAGCTTGGTAGACGTGCTTCAAAACAGCTCCAGTTTTTCCTAATTGTTTAAGCAGTGGCTCATGGAAATGATATAAATATTCCTTTTATCTTTAATATATTTATCTTTCTTGTGGTAATTTAAGTTTTACATATTAAAAAAGAATGACACGGTTCTATATTTCATTCGTACAACCTTACAGGTATCACTGTACTCAAAGTGCGATCTTCTGGCAGTCAATCAGAGGTCTTTGATTAAGCTCCTGTTATGCTTAAGCTAGAGTTGATCCACTTCATAATGCCTGGTGGGGTTTTTCTTTCTGATGAGCATTTAATTCATAAACAGATCCCTCTCACTTTTTGTTCCTTTCAAATCAGACAGTTTTAAAAAAAATACGTTAAAATCTAATATAATACCTGTTGGAAAACATTTTAAAATTTAATGAGATTAGCTTATCTGTGGTATCTCTGAGGATTTCAGCATGAAAATAGCAATATCAGTGAGAGAATCTGCTTCTAAAATTCAAAATAAGCTCCAGGTATGCAAAGCCACGCAGAAAGTTGGGCAGAGTTCCTGACAAGACACCAAAAGAAGGATCGCTATAGGAAAAGTGGGACTCCAGGAGAATGAACTTATTTAGCTAATTTAATTTCAGAAAATTAAAATTAAGCTGAGAACACTGAGAAAATATTTGCAGGTCAGATATCTGATAAAGGATACCTATCCAGAGCATCTGAAAGACTGTGACAACTCAATGCAAAAAGAGAAACTAATAAGTATGTGAACAAAAGACCTGAATAAAAATTTTCCTAACAAAGATACACAAATTCCCGGGAGAACAAGACGCTTAACATTATTTGTCCTCAGGAGAACAGGAAAGAAAATCACATAGAGATATCCCTTCACACCCACTAGGACTGCACAAAACAAAAGGTGGTGGAGTGGTTGTCGAGAAACTGGGATACTCACGCCATTGGTGGGACTGTAAAGTGGTGCAGGCACCGTGGAAGCTACTCTGACAGCTCCTTCCACAGGTTAAATGTGTGCTACCACACGACCCAGTGATGCCGCTTGTAGTATAAGCCAAAGAGATATTTAAAAAAATAAAGAGAACCACCAAACCTCCCTCCATGGAAGGGTCTACTCACTCAGGTTCCACTTCAGGCCTGTTGTCGTCACCTGATTGCAAGGCTGTCCAACAGGAAGCAGGCCACACCAACTGCCTTCCAGTCCAGTGTCCACGTGCAGTCTGTGCTTTCCCTGCAGTGGAGAAGGAATGATCATGAAGGATGAGAAGAGAGAGAGAAGGATGTTAAGGAGGCCAGAACATGTGGCCGTGCGTGGTGGGTGCTGGCTTCGGGTCTTCTTATGGATTATCTTAATCCTAACAATACATTTGCTTAGTGTTTCAGTTACTCTTCTCTCATTGTTGGGAAAAACATCCAACACTCAAGATTAGGGAGGGAAAAGTCAGGTACTCCTGCAGATAATCCCAGCACTGGATCAAGAATCAATCACAAGGGGCCAGGGAGATGGCTGAGTGGAATAAGTGCTTCCCTGGCAAGCACAAGGGCCTGAGTTCAATCCCTAGTTCTGCCAAAAAAAAAAAAAAAAAAAAGAATCAATCACAAACTCCAGAAGCGTCCCATGACTGTATGAGGCTTTAGAGGAACAATGAGACACAAACCATAACATTCTGCCCCTGGACTCCTAAAGACTCATGCACATTCCTTTTTGCAAAGACATTGTAATCCATTTTTAAGATGCCAAAGTCCTACAGTTTCAGCATTGCTGAAAAGTCCAAGTCCCAAGTCTCCTCTTTGCTGCTGCCATAAAAGGTTGCTCTCTTCCATGTTCCTTGGAGCCTGCTGAGTTATGCACTGAAACTTCCACAAACTGTGAACTAAATAAACCTTTCCTTCCTTAATTTCGGGTGCTCAGTGTTTTGTCATAGCCAAGAAAGAAGACAAAAGTAATCGAAACACTTAGTATACGCTGAATAATCCTACTGGCCTTCAATTGACTCAGTCTTCATGGTAATGTTTCAATAATGTTCATTATTAATTTTACATAGCAGAAAACGGAAGCTTGCAGACATTAACCATGTCCAGAATCACACAGATAGAGAGGAATTCTTCCTGTTTTAGCCAGATCTCTAGTAACAATGTAGAACTCTATGGCACAGAATTCTAGGGTCTTAAAACACTTGAGTGCATGGAAAGCCTTGTTTCCCAAGTAAATAGCACCCACTACACATGGTCATGTGTTCCGGCCTCTGATCCCCTAAATGTTGGGCTTCTAGACTTGAGTTCAAAGTCAACCCTTCTTCCATAGGGAAGGTTCAGAAAAAAAAAAAAAAATGTACCAGGAAATAGGTCTATGTTCCATGAGAAATGGTATGTTTCTTTTGTTCTGATCATAAAAACATAAAATTTATTACGTTTTCCATTTTTCAGATTACAGGAATGTTAAAATTTAATGGAATGCTCAATCAAGGTGACAACGTTTGCTTTTAAAATAAGATATTTGGATACCCTCGTGCTTCCTCAAAGTAATAACATCTATCTGTTCTTTCCATTATCATTGGGGAATGCAGTCTTTATAGAAAGATAACTCAAGTTCTATGGAAATAATGCCAAGGCACACATACCTGCAACAATGGCAGAAGGCATTTTTCTTAATTCATTGTGGCTTATCTATTCAAAATATGATACATAACCAGAATAAAGTAACTAGGTCTCCTTTGGTCGTCTCTTTATGATTTCTACTATATCTCTGTACTCCATGCTGTAGGTTTCCAATGGAGGTTTATTGTGCTTTATATACAGTCACACAGTAGAAGTGGACTTGCTTTGTCTCTTGTTAAAGAACTGCTTTTACTACTAAGAAAACAATCTCTACACTGCGTATCAGTTCCTGAATTTTAACACACACTCGTTCAGATCCTGACCCACACTACCATTCCCACAGTTACAGGATGTTTTCTAATTTTATTTGAATCATTAATCAGATGGCCATGAGTTCAGTTAAAAGGGTCTAAATACAATTCCACAGCAGGGAATTTTTAAAGGAAATATCAAATATATTTTCAACTTGGTCTTCACTTAGAGAAGACAGGCAACTGGTACAGACACGGTAAGCAGTGGACTAGGTGCACACAGAGAAAATGGGTGGATTCAAAGCATGAGGACTGAGAGAGGGGCAATGATACCATCCGTAAGCAGCTGTGGAAAGCAGATGTGTGACAGCCCTGTCCCACACCCACCCGTAACTTGCTCACTCATGCAGCTTCAAGCTAGCATTGGAGACAACTATACTTCATAAAACTGACAGACGCGTGCGCTGGCATCAAACATCCAATTGTGGGCCAAACAGACAGGGATCTATGTGTGGAATAGAAAATGTTTTTAGGGCAGTGATGCCATTGGGTGTGGCACTAAGATAACCAACACATGACACCAGGCATTCTCCAGAACCCACTCAACCCACGACACACAGTACATCCTGTCAGTTATGAAAGTTAGCTAATGCTGGATCAGTATGAGTTCATCCTCTGCAACAAGTGAAGCATATTAAGGAAAGTTAATGGGACAAACTGGAAGGAGGGGACAGGCGTAGCCACCATGTCCAATATGCTCAGTTTTCCGTAAGCCTAAAAATGCTCCGAAGGAAGTCTATTATTTTAAATGTGTCTCACAGCGATCATTTTGTTTTTTACTGCTGACGGGGGACTGAGTGCAACGAGCTGGGGGGTTTGCAACCTGCACGAGATGAATGGTGCCATGCTGGGAGAGCGCGCAGTGCCTCTTGGCGGTCACTGCCACATCTTCTGCCATTACCTTGAAAAACAGTTTTTATTTGGAGGCATGAGCTGCCTTTATTGCTTTCTGGGAAGTTTTCTCTCAAACCGATTTAGATGGAATAGCTTGCTGCAGAAACCTGAGTTTTGTTTCTCCTTAACATTCTCCATCATAGAAGTCATGAGTTCTACAGATAGACACCCTACACACAATACAAAAAACTGAGGGCAGGATACTCTGGATAACTCTGAAATGCTGGAAGCCTCTTAGGTGATTAAATAAGTTGAGGATGGAGGAATTGGCAGAAATTCTGGTTTTCTTACCATTAGCTTTGGCTTCACCAGCAAAGCAATGAACACTGGAGAGGACTTGTTGTGAAGGGGGGTCCTGGCCCAGTTTCCGGTTGGAATGCTGTGCTCCCAAAGCCCCCACCAGAAAACACCGTGCAATGGAAGGGCTTCTTCTGTTAACCTGACTTCTTGGGCACTGGCTGTCCACAGCACAGGGAAAAGGGAGTCAAAGCATGGTGTGCTTTTTGTTTCTGCTAACTTCAGTAAAGAATGATGAAAAAAGATTTTTTTTTTTTTAACTGATGGCTATGAAATCCCTGAGAAAAAGAGTCTTCAAATTATCCTATAATGCAAAAAGAACAGCACATATATGTGTTAACTTTTATTTTCCCAGGGCAAGGCTGTCATAAAATCACTGATTTAAGAGACATGGTAGTAAGACTTCTTATCCAGCCTCACTATGTATGCAATGCCTCCCTCATATTTTTAAGAACCAACCTTAACATTTTCAATCTGGAAACACACTGGTTTGTGGGCTTGAGAAGTCACAGGTAAGTCTCTGCTTGCAATCAATTAATAATTTTTCTCAGGGCTGGCCAGATAGCTCAATGGATTAAAGTGCCTGCAAGCAGGCACAGGGGCCAGCGGTTCCATTTCTGGGCCTGCAGTGCCGGCCCTGCCCCGGGGGTGCACTGAGACAGCAATTGAGACTGGGTGTGGTGGCGCATGCCTATAATCCCAGCTCTTGGGAGACTGTAAACAGGTGGATCACTGCGAGTCAGATGTAGTCCTGAGACCCTGAACGCCTGTAGACCCTTCCCTAAAAGTACAAAAAAAAAAATTTTATTTTGTCATTCCACAGATGTGTTTGCCGTATGTAAATGGTCTTTGTGTTCATACATACAAGGATTTAGCTTTAGTTGTTAAAAAGAAGCGCAGTGTTACGCTTTCCTCTTACATCTGTGAGTCTAGGTGGTGTCGTCAATGGAGCAATTTTCATTCATTCCCTGGATTTCTCAATTAATAATATATGCGAGTCTCCATGTGGCTTCACGAGGCAGCCACATAGCCTGACACTAAGGAATTCCCGCAGGGCTGGTACCATTGCTAAAGACTAGAGGTGCACGGAGCAGTCATTGACCTCCATCACTGCTCATGAATCATTGCACAGGTTCCTGCTCTGTCTTCCATTCTGAGCTAAGATAGCTCTTTGAAGTCAAAGGCAGTGCTGTACAGTAAAGAAGGAATGAAAATCAATCACATGCAGTTTGCTGTTCCCGTTGTGGTTATTTGATCATATCTAACACAGTTTTAATAAGGAATGAACTTATAATTTATTAAAAGGCAATAAAGCTGTTGTATGACACATATCCTGGATACTGTACTTAAGGTCATGGTCACCAGAGTATCACAGATCGCTTTCCCTACACCATAATTGCCAACAACAAAACTCATATAAATAGAGACCTTAAAAGTATAAGAATTCTCTGTCACTTTGTTTTGCATTTTTCGTCTTATTTGCAAATAACAATAACTAAAAGATAAAATCACACCCTATATTCTGCCTTTGGAAAGCAGCAAATATACAGGCATTTCAACTGGTGAAATTGCCGAATCTTTAACTGCAATAACAATGTCACCATTTTTTCTGTGACATGTTAGTGTGGATATCTTCGTGTGGATGCAGGAAACTGATAAGGTCATCACAGGAAGAACACCAGGGTACTTTCTACTTAATGTGAAAGATTCAAGGAGCAGGTGCTCACGGTAGTTTATATAGCAGATAACCATGTGACACACTTCTATTCACGCGTCACTTTCACCTGAGGTCAAAGGCAGCCAGGACTGCAAAAACATAGAACAGGCAAAACCAAGGGTGGCTGCAGCCCCCCTCCCTCCCACACACAGATCTCAGCTCTGGTAGTTTGTCTTTCATCAGTCACTTTGGGCACTTAAAAAAATTTATCAACAAAACTGCTACAGACTTATCCTAGTTTTTTTTTTTTTTTTTTTTTTCTCCTGTTGCTGAGACAAAATATCCCAGTACCCAGAATTAAGGAAGGAGAGGTTTATTCAGTTCACGGTCCACAATCTGCTGGCTCCAAGGCAGAGTGGTACATGGTACAGGGGCAGTAGTACAGAAGAACAGCAAAAGCAGCAGGAACAAGAG